AGAGAGAGAGAGTGAGTGAGAGAGAGAGAATAGAGGGGAGTAGAAAAGAGGACAGAGAGAACTATGTTCTTTTTAGCAGTCGTCAGGAGGTCTTATTTTCTTTGCCTCCTCCCCTCTCGTCCAACCTGATTTCTTGAAACTTATATATCAGGTTTGTAGGAGAGACAGTATAAGAGTCCTCTGCAAAGGCGAACGGTAGAACTGGTAGAACGCATTATCACGATTTACAGACAGGTGGACTGGTACCACTGTGCAATTGCTTTCTATTTGTGAAGGATCAATTTTCCCCCTTCCCACACCCTGTTTTCAAAACAAGAAAAAAAAAGAAGAAAAAAAAAGCTCTCTTCCTCCTACCCCTGAGCTCCTCAAACTGCGCACTTTAAATTGCTACACCTATTTTAACTAAAGCAGGCTCAAAGTTTTCTCGTAACAGGCAAAAAATACACACACAATATTCAGAATAGCTATTCTGGTCAAGTAGGCAACTACTCTGCCCACACAAGCGTAAAAGACTATCTGGTTATTTCGTTGACAAAGGCGTACTCACCTATCTAAAAAAACCGTCAATAACACCAAAGAGTTTCCTCGGTTTCCGCTGTATTTCCGCTTCAAACACTGGTCGCACTGCACCCATCTCCATATTAGGGCAATGACGTCAAATATTGCTACCGTAAAATGTATTTCCATCACCTCTGAGTAGGAGACACGATAAGTGCCCACTTGACATGACAATTAAAACGCGGTGGAGACAGTATATAAGCGTGAGAGTTTGCTTTCAAAACTATAAGATCTTCCACAGCAAGTAAATTGATAATAGATATTGAGACATTTCAATATAGAGCAGTATTGACAAATTACCTACCTTTGTTTAAATTGAATCTCCTTCGGACTCACAAGTTTAAACGCAAGTCAAACGACGCGAGTCAAAATGTTCCAGCTGTTTTGTGCCTTTCTTTTCTTTCATGTGGCGATCACGCACGGCGGTGTCGTCAAACGGGAGACAGTCACTGTGTGCAAACAACGTCCTATTGAGCTGGGAATTGTTCTCGACTCATCCAGTTCTATCAGCTACAAAGACTTCCAGAAGAGCATCGATTTTCTCCAGGACTTTGTCAGCCAGTACGATATCGGAGATGGCCACAATGATGTGAGAGTGTCCCTCATCACCTTCGGCAAAGGTATCTACCGACAAGATGCCTTCGACCTGACCTCTTACAGCACCAAAGAGGCC